TCTGATCCCTGGTCCCTAGTCTCTGATGTCTGATCCCTGGGCCCTAGTCCCCGATCTCTGGTACCTCGTCCCTAATCTCTGGTCCCTGGTCCCTGAGCCCCAGTACAAAGGGAGGGATGGACTTTCTTTTCCTTCAGGAGCTTCCTCTACAGGCAGAACTAACTCGAGCAGAATTAAGACTTAACAGAATTAAGTCCTTACACACTTCCGAATCCTGAGACTGTTCATGGCCATGATTTAAGGATGCACCAGATCCTTAAATCAGTGTTTCTCATGGAATGTCTCCTGGTGACCATTTCTCCAGAAGACCATGAACAGAGGTACTTGGATTCAGCTCCAATAAGAGCAGCGGCTTCTCGTAGCACCTGCAGGGAGGCAGGCGGAGGCAGGGAGACTTGCTGGGGTGTCCCTTTGCCCAGCTATTGTCTTAGTTTCAGGGAGAACCTGCTGGCTGAGACATCACCCCACCTGGAAAACAAAGCCTTGGCCCCTGCAGCCCCTGGTGGAGCCGAGGTCCTTGGGGAGGAGCGTGTCCCTGGGGGGAGGGTGGTGCCGCACGTGCACAAGCTCTCTCCACTCGTGAATTTGAGGAGAAACAGGAACACAAGATGGTGCCTGATACCCTAAAATCGTGAGCTGTCACGCCTCCATGAGAAGTGATCTGGCCTCCCACCCCAGCTGCGTGGGGAGAGGGGAAGGTCAGCTGGTGCTGGAGCAGGGCGGTCATGTGTCCACCAGGCATGGCCTAAGCCAGGAACAGGAGGAGCACAGTGGGCCCGTGGCACCAACGCTCCCTGCTCAGGCCAATCCTGGAGGCAAGAGGACCAGGTGGCCTTGCTAGTGGCAGCCTGGCTGGGGGCCAGCCCCTGGTTTATATCCTGGTGCAGACACCTATGGCTGTCCCCTCAGGTGCTCGTTTGTAAACATGAGAAGAGCACTGCTCCTGGAGGGTGTGTCTGGGTGGCCATGAGGGGCTGTCTGGCCAAGGTACAGTTTGGGGGACAGTGGAGGAGCCAGTTTCTCCCTCCAAAATGAGGCTGTGAGCAACAGGCAGGGAGGGAGTGGTGGGGCAGAGGGACGTGTGTGGGATCAGCACCGGGGCTGGCCCCGAGCCAAGGTTCCATGTGGCTCCTGTGCAGTCAGTGAATGGCTGACCCTGATGTCAAGAGGAGGGAACGAGGCTCAGAGTAGGAAAGACTGTGGCCAGGGCCCCAGGACAGGTGGTGGAGCCTGGGCCTGAGTCACCACACCTGCTTCTGGCCTGGGGTCTCCACATCCCCAGGAGCCCTGTTACCAGACCCTTTGCTGGCCTTTGTGCATCCAGGCTCCCTCCTGCCCCTGGCCCAGCAGTAGGGGGGCACAGGGCCTCATCAAAGGTCAAAACAGTGAAGGCATGATGGACCGCAACAGGCCCAGTCCACCCTCTCCCCTCATGGGGCCCAGACCTCAAGTTCTCAAAGCCAATTTAAGGGGTCTTGAGGGAAAATAAACTAATCGGCCCTAAGAGTTACTTTTTAATCAGGTGTAGGAGTAGTAACTCTAAGACTGTCTGGCGAGGGAAGAGTGGGCAGGTCAGCGGCTGGTCCCCATTTCAAGGCCAGAGGCTAGAGACCAATATGAGCCAAGCTCCTATGGGTGACACCCCCACAAATAGGCGAGGATGCAGAGGAAGGAGCCAGGCCCAGTTTGGACACCGATGCCCAGGGGATGCTTCCCCCACGGGGAAGGCCAGGCTGTTCCTTCCCAGAGGCAGCATAGTCGACACCGTCCACATTCTGCCCTTTACCACAAACAGCCTTTAAACCAGGATGAGGTAACCCGGGGCCTGGGCCAGGGCAGGTGTGACTCAGGCATCTGCAGCCTTCACAAAGAAATCCCCTGCTTTCGGCAAAACGAACTTGGGGCTGCGAGCCCGGCTGCTCTCGCAGCCGCTCAGCACAGCACGGCATGGCAGGAGAGTGCCGGGAAGACCTTCTTGGAAGGCCCTCTCCTAATCCCTGGATCCTGGAGGCGCCTAAGGGGCAGGGCTGAGTGCCGGACCCACAGGAGGACAGCGCTTCCCCTACCCGAGAGGAGTCCACAAGGGGACCCACGCTTACCTGCCCGCCCTCATCAAACGGGCCCACGTGGGAAAACCACACTCGAGAGCAGAACCAGGTGGGCATGACGACAGTGGGGCCATTGGAGGTAAACACCTAGAAGCAATTAACATGGACAGAATTAACAGAACAGCTGGTCACACAACTTACAATTTACTTCCCACAAAGTGTCATTCAGAGAGCGACCATCGATTTATAGCTCCCTTCTCTGTAGGTACAAGGGTTCACAGGACATTACAGCCAGATCAACAGAGTCCGGCCCCCAAGACTGACAGAAGCGGGGAGGGACAACAGGAAATCAGTGGCCAAATCCAGCCCGACCCCAGGTCCTTCTCCTGGGATAACGTTCATTCCACCCCAGGTCCTAGTCCCAGGATAACGCTCATTCCAGCCCAGGTCCTATTCTCAGACTAGTGCTCACTCCCACCCCAGGACATATTCTGGGGATAAATCTTATGTCACTTCAGGTCCTATTCCCAGGATAACGCTCATTCCACCCCAGGTCCTATTCCCGGGATAATGCTCATTCCACCCAGGTCCTATTCCCGGGA